CATTCAAATGTTTTATTTAAAACATTAACCAAACCTCTAGGGAATGTTAGCCAAAGTTCTGAGAACGTTCCCTGTTAGCTGGGAAAACGGATCGCGCCATCTACCAAAAAATTATCAATATTTCACAAGTTGAAGGCTAATAATGCTTATGTGCCAGCTGATAGAGACATATGAATGGGATAATGTATGCGAGGCGGTTGTTGTATTCGCCTCACAACCGCCTCGCTATATATTATCCTGCTTATTACAAATAAATCAACCAAATAAATAAATAAATAATTTGACACAAAATATTGACTTGAGTTTATTGATTTAAAAACGAGTATTGCTTCTGCTAAAGAAAATAGTCTGTTCCGTCTCTGAACTGCGTCCATGGCAACGGTGTGTTATACTAGCAGCGCCGCAGTCTGTTAACTAGAAATAACAGACCACATTCTACATTACAATTCAACCAAGCCACGTAAAAACAAGCAAAACTAACCCAAGAAAACAACGACGCTATAAACATTGCTATGATGATGACGATGCACGTATGCCCGACGACAGCAGAGGTGACTGTGGAACGAGCAGTCCATCAGTTCTGGGAGATCGTGGTTCACGGAAACCCTTTGGTTGAAGCCTCTTTTTGCTTTGTCCACTTACGTCTGCCTTTGTTGACATCCGCCATGTGTGCGCAAACAGACTGGCCGGAAATGAACTCGTCTTCTGACGTGTTGCAACCATAAAAGGGCATAAAACTTAATCGCAATTCATTATTTATTCGGCAAATAACGTTTCGATCAGCTTTTATCGCATTAGCCGTATATCGATCAAGAGAAAATTCGATGATAACGAACGTATTTCATTTGAGTCGATTTTCATGAAATTTCATCGAATTTTACTGTTTCCATAAGGCTTTTTTCATTCGATATCACTTAATTCGGATAAAAACGTGTTGATGGAAACATGGCTACTGATTAATCACAAGTCATCAATTTTGAATTGTTCTTAAATCAAACAAAAGGGGCTCATGTAAACACATGAGCCACGCATCTCACACCATGAATTGGAGCACAGAAGCATCATCATGATAGACATGACTTAAAATGTAACATTGTCCGCACACCTCTTCCGTTTGGTTTGGTCATTCCATAATATATACAATATTAAAAACATTTTTAATAAGTCTGGTGTAAACTGTTTTTGAAAGGATTCTCTTAGACCCCGTTTACACCTGGTATTAAAATGCGATCTGTATCCAGATAAGTTATCCGGATAATAAAAAACGCATGTTAATGCAAGGTGTAAACGCGTTGTGATCGGATCGTGATCGGATCTGCCTGACCACATCTGGAGGTAGTCTGGCTCGCATTGTGTCCGGATCTTTACTAGGTGTAAACGCAATCTGGTTGTTGAAACCACATATGTATATTTTACTCCTCCCAAAAATGCTAAAAAATAAACGAGTGAGAGCGTGTTATATAGGCTATATGTCATGTTATAGCCTAGTCAGATGCGACACGCGACACGCATCACCGCAGATGAGCAGCTGAGCGTCTATTCAACGTGCAAACATCGCAAATAAAAGTGAAAGTAAGTCACAGACGCAGTTAACACATCTTCAAGTAAAGAAACGAAATTATCTTACCAGGCCTGTTGCCACTCTCTCTTATTGATGTCTCTGATTTGGAAATTAGCTGATGATCAATAAAATGCCGCTCAGATCTGTTGCTTTTGGTGGCGTGCAATCCAATAAATCTGCATATAACGCAGGAGGTGAAGATCGGATTTATATCCGTTTTGCAAAAACACATTTATGTGGCCAGGTGTAAATGGAATCAGTACTTATTATCCGGATAACTTATCTGGATGCAGATCGCATTTTAATACCAGGTGTAAACGGGGTCTTATGCTCACCAAGGCTGCATTTATTTATTGTTAAAACAACAACAGCAGTAGAAACAGTAATATTGTAAAATTCCATCTATCTGTCTGTCTGTTTATCAATGTCTTGATGCTTAAAGCTTAAAGCTGTAGATTTTCCCAGATTGGAAAAGGTGAAAACTGCCCACTCTCTGGATCGGCCTACAATTCAAGCATATAATTGCAGACATATAGCACATTTATTAAAAAACTAATGTTCTTTTTGCAAGGAAATATTTAGGAAAGTATTTGTCTCTCATGCTGATGTTGTTTTAAGGTTGATCTGCTAATGAGATACACAGGCAGAGAGATAAAGGCTTTGGTGCTGAGCAATGTCATCATTTGTTTCCTTGCATCCCTTGCAATAAATGAATTTCCCCATGACTAGCATCTTCCTGCTGAGATGACACACAAATGCACAACTGAGGCAACTGCTAACTGTGTGTTTATGGGATTTGTGTGTTTGCCTGTGCAAGTGCAAATGTGTTTATAAATCTGTAGTGAATGTGAAATGCATTAGTTTAATATTTACAAAAATACGCATTCCAGAATGTTAGAAATGACAGCTTATCACATAGTAATTGAAACTCACATTTTTTTGTCAATGGAAATGTTATTGGTCGGTGACAACATGAAAATGACACGTTTTTGATTGGTTGAGGTCAATTCAGCAAAATTTGTTTCTTTCGAGCTGTCACAATTAATTGGAAAAGAGGTCAGAAGTTCCAAGAGAGAATGAAATATGAAAGATGGTTATTAATCATCTCTTATGAGCATAAACATTTCAGCAGCCAATGGAACTTAAACTAATCAATGACATATTATGAACTGGTTTAAATAAGTGATGTAAAATCAATGCCATGTGTCTGTTTATCATGACTTAATCTAGCATAACTCAACTTTCAACATGCATGGAGAACGTCATCCCATTTTCCGTATGTACTGGTAATATGTCACATGTGATCATTATGCCCATCTGTCCTTTGCAGTGAGAGTTACATTTGAAAAAATAGAGGCTATTTAATGGTGCTTGCTGTTACAAACCACATTCAAGATGTTTTTCTATTGATTTTCATTCCACTTGGTGTTCGTTTGTAGTAGTGAGAAACTGCCCTAAGAGTTTACTCATAAATTCTTCTTTCTGTAAGTTATTCTTTTAATCTTCTGATCTGGGGAGTTTTGCTGCTTATCTAATAATGATGACAGCTTTCATTTGGAGGTCACTGTTGGTCTTTGGTCACTCATAAATTCCGGCTTCAGCCTGAAGCTGATATCACAAACAAGTTGACCTCTGAATTGACTTGACTTCTGTTATGCAATAACTATAATACGAGAAAGAAGCAGAAAAAAGGGGTAAATTACAACACACGCTGTGAAAGAATAACAATGCATGAGGATCACTGAATGTCAAGATCAGATGCAATTTTGATTCATCTACTTCGTAAAATATTTGGTCCCTATTTGAACCCTAGTCTTCTTGCATTCTGATTGAAAACTTGACACATCTGACTTCTAACTATTAAAACTTTTTTTTCCTCTTTGTATTATCATGTTTTATCTTGCCAAGGCACAAAGTTGAGCCAAGACTGGCACTGAAGTCCCCTCATAAATAAAGCAGTATGACACGCCAATACATGTCACATATCACATAAACAGTCCTGAAGCTAAATAAAGGTCATTTAATGACAAATCTCTCTCAGTTGTTCCATTTTAAGGCAAAGGTAAAACAAAACATCTGATAAAAATTAAGCAAATGTGTTGCTAAAAATAGAAGCTTACAGAGAAATGCATCAATTGATGCTGTTCTATACCAGCACACACGAGAATATACAACTTGATAACAAAGAATTGTGTGCAGAAAATCTTTAACCTTTCTGACTGTTTATGCTGTGATTTCCATTAGGGCAAAACCTTTCAGCGCTTGATGACACAAATCTGGGTTGTCAGTCTGAAAGCCAAGTTCACTCAAAGTGCATTGAGTTAGCCTTCAACTTCTTGACCTGCTTTATTTTTTTTAAATCTTTAAAACACTATCCAGACTGCCAGTTTGGTGTGCTGCTTCCTCTGTCTGCTGAAGCCTTTCAGAACCAGGAAACCTGTTGTAAAATGTTGAAATGTTGGAGTGTAGCTTTTCAAAGCAGCAGCCTGATCCAAATGTTTCTCCTGAGGCACTGGTGACATTTTCTGCAGTATAAAACACACAAAGAAGGACTGTTAGGCACCATGTTTAATATCGTTTACAGTACCAAAACATTTGTCATTGTTTTTATCACCCTGACAACATAATTCTAATGGATGTGAATGAAACGAAAAGAATGACGATGGGAAAACAACACATTCCACTGTGAAGTGTTGACAAAATAATCGACTTTACCAAACTGGTATGATTTTCTATCCTCTGTGGGACAAACAAGAAAATATTTTAAGAGATGTTTTTTTCAAAGTATGTCTTTTGTGCTACATATAAGAAAGTCCAGCCCGTTCTCATCCCAAGCCGCAGCCATTTGCCAAAGCGTAGACATCCAACACACATGGCACGCTTTAGCGTCAATATGAGACGCAGATATATATATGGGGCAGAAGGCGCCTCCTAGTGGTCAAAGACTAACCCTACCCCAGTCCTAAACCTACCCATAGTCTATGCGTGTTAATTTGACGCTAAAGATGGCATGTGTGTTGGATGTCTACGCTTTGGCAAAAGCGTCGTATATGACGCCTTGGGATGAGAATGCGTTGTAAAGTCAGTCATTAAGTCAGTCCCTGTACTCAGGGAACGATGGTTACATACGTAACCGAGACGTTTTTAATCAATTGACTCCCTTTGTATCATACTGAATATGAACTTTGCATATTTGAAGATGCTTCACACAGTTGGTGTGCCATTTAAAGATAAACATAATGTGTTTTGCTGGGACTGCATGCTGAGAAAACTCAACGACACAATGGATCTACAACAAAATGAAGTCAAGCTGCGAGTGTATTCACACCCTGTGAAAAAGACAACTAAAAGCTGTGATAAGAAGTGTTTTTCATCTAACATCTTAACTCTTTCTTTCCATCTTTCGCCTCCTCCATCTTTCCTTCCCCTCCATTCTCAGGAGTATCCGGTGTCTGAGAAATATCATCCACTGGAACCTGATTACGGCATTTATCCTGCGAAATGCCACCTGGTTTGTGGTGCAGCTCACCATGAATCCAGAGGTGCATGAGAGCAATGTGGTGAGTAAACACATGCAATGACAAATATTCTCTCCTTCTCCTATTACCGTTTCTTTCAAAATCCACAACCAATGCACATATAATCTGTTATTCATTCTCACAATACGTGCACACCCACCCTTTTGTTCAATCCGTTGTTCGTTCTCACTATTTCCCTCTCTTCAACCCGCTGTTATTCCCTCATTCTGTTGGCACCCATGCAGAGAAACACAAGTTTATTAACTGCATTCAAACACTGTCCCTGACACCTGGGTCTCCGTTTCTACACTCATTACAGGCGTGGAAATCTAACTGGCACTAGACGTGTATCTGTGGGTGTTTTGGGAGGAATGCAAACAGCTCATCGTCCAATGTGCTTCTCTGAGAATTAATTACCCTCCACATTTCTGTGCTTCCTTAATCAACTCATCTGAGTCAGGCAATTAATTCATCTACCACCACGTCTATATCAGTCCCAAAGGGCTCTTCCATCTTACATTCGAATTCAACCTCATACTCTGTGATGCACATTGCGTTTTGGATGGTATCAGAGTTCGATTCCACCATGTTTGTCCTTGATACTTATCTTTTGCTGTTGCCAAAGCATAATTTGCATCTATTTTTTCTGAATTGTATGCAAGGGCTGACTTAATTGCCTTTTCATGCTAAGATTTTGCACAGCAGCACTCCCCTAGAGAAAAACTTGCAAGGTGTTTTCAGGAGGAAGTTGTTGTTCCTCTAGGTCTGTATATAGATAGCAGTGGCCTAATTCTCACTGTTTACGTTCAAGTAAAGCTCATTCGAGATGTTTAAAAGTGAATTTTTTGAAGACAAATGCTTACTGTTGACCTGTCTCGAGATGAAATTAAATTAGCTTTCTTTAGAATTAGAAAAAATGGAGAGCTGTCTGTTTAAAGGAGAACTCCGGCGAACAATGAACCTTTGGTCTAATAAAACATCGATACCTTGTCAACCGTTCTCTGAGATTTGTTTTCATGATAATCGAATGTAAAGAGTTGTATCTCTAAAAAATCTCTAGTAATGGGGGCATTGACTAAGTAAAAAGAAATCGCTACTTTATACCACTAACAAGGCTCAAAATAGCCCCACACTAACACAGAAACATACTGAGGCTCCATACATGCAAAACGAAGCATTGAGAACTTTGTAAGTGTAAAGACCATTTAATAAGAAGAAACTTTATGAAGACAGTTCACTTCGTGTATACAGACAGGAGCCATCTTAAAAATAGTCTCGATAAGTCGATCCCCGAACGCGGTTCAGAAGTTCGCTGAACTTCATACAGCTCAGATCACTCAGCACATCGTTCGGGGATCGACTTATCGAGACTATTTCCTAAGATGGCTACTGTCTGTATACATGAAGTGAACTGTCTTCATAAAGTATGAAAAACAAGGCTATTTTGAGCCTTGTTAGTGGTATAAAATAGCAATTTCTTTTACTTAGTCAATGCCCCCATTACTAGCATTATACGCTAAACAGTTTTTAGAGATAAAACTCTTTACATTCGATTACCATGAAAACAAATCTCAGAGAACGATTGACTATGTACCGATGTTTTATTAGACCAAAGGTTCATTGTTCGCCGGAGTTCTCCTTTAACTGTGTATAAAATTGTGTAAATACACGATGTCATTGATGCACTTGTGTTGAATCGTTTCAATTACGGTTCAAGCAAGTGATCCCAGTTGTTTTGTGGTTTATACAAAGAATATCTTGACTCATTCGATATGCTTTGCTTAATGAGGTTCAGCTTTGCATTGTCTTTTTTTTTGCTGTACGTATAAGATACATTCATTTAGGAAAGCCTGCACAAGTCAGAGCCAGCTGCTTTTCATTGAGTTTACTAGCGCAAAATGACACATTTATTGTGAAAAGTGTCACTTTGTGGATAATTTACACCATGCCAGTTAATGAAAGACACTGTTCTGTAAATAACTGCAAAATTAGCAATAAAGATCCTACAGAAGCTTGTAATCTCTACAAGGTCCTAAATTCCTGTCACACCAGGGGGCCTATTATGAAAGAGGGTTGTAAAATTCTAAAGAAGTACTTCTGAGAGCTGGAAGGCTTTATGACTAAGAGAGCTTTTCATTTTTTCCCACTACTTCACATGTTGAAATAAAATCGTTACCACAGAATACATGTAATGGTCTATGGACTATTAGTTTGCTGATTAATGCCTGGAATAAATTAGTCTACAATAGTTTCTCAAGCCCATAAGGCTGATAGACTGAGATTTTGCTTTCTCCTACAGATTGTGAGAAAAGTCACCCCTTTTAACGAGAAGTCACAGGTCTGAAAGGTTAGAATCGTTCAGTGTGGCTTGAATTCCCACTTCAGTCATAAGTCACAACTGTGATCTTCAATCTTGAGTCGAGAGTGACAGATTTCTTATCTTCTCATGAGACAACAACATGACAGAGCTCAGTTATGAAATATGGCCAAATCAAAAGAGCGGAGGCTAGGATTCAACAGGATTAAACAGGGCTCTGACACACAATAAAGCCAATATGACTCTTGCAAATGTCAGGAGTGTCACAGCTTTTTCATCCAGGTGCAGTACTGTCATACTGTACTATCCGTTAAACATTAAAGGGATTGTTCACCCAAAAATGAAAATTCTGTCAGTATTTACTCACCCTCATGACCTTCGTACATCTTGGGAACACAAATTAAGGTATTTTCGATTGAGAGCCGGATCACTCCTCCAAACTAGTCCATAGGCTTCAGGGATTGAAACTTGCCAGCCCCAAAAAGTTATTAAAGACATCGTTAAAATAGTCCAAGTGACTTCAGTGGCTCAATCTTAAGTTTATCAAGCGACGAGAATACCTTTTGTGTGCAAAAACAAACAAAAATAACGACTCTATTACAGCTATTAATTTCCTTCTAGGCCTCTATGTAGTGTGACTGCAGTTAACCTTCTGTTTTCTTTTCTACTATGTTTGATCTTTCAAACCCATTCATATTTTGATATTCAGATAGGACCATCTGAGAGGTATTGTACTTCTGATAGTCCTGTCATAAGAAGCGATAACCCACTGGCTTTTATCATACTTTCATCTAAATCTGTTCCATCTCTGGGTTATGTATCAGACCCCTACAACCCCCACCCACCTGTAAAATCCCTTCTTTTAGAGTACAAAGGTTTTATCCCCTGCTTGGTGTTTGAACTCAGCTTCAATCATAGAGAGTAGACATTCTACACACGCGTAATCGCACACAAGCTTTTTCTTTCCTCAAGCTATTCAAATAAAAGCATTTTGAAACAGAGAATGCTTACAAGAAGTGGCATGGTGATCTCCTAGGGTAAAATTTAGGACAGTTTCTAAACATCTAACTTGATTTCTCTTTCTCTCATCACTCTCAGATCTGGTGCAGGCTGGTCACAGCAGCGTATAATTATTTCCATGTGACCAACTTCTTCTGGATGTTTGGAGAGGGCTGCTATCTGCACACAGCCATAGTACTGACATACTCCACTGACAAACTGAGGAAATGGATGTTCATCTGTATAGGCTGGTGTAAGTACCCCATGATGCACAACTCTGGAAAGTATCCAGTTTTGGATCATGTACTGTACCTGTTTACAATAAAGTTAATGTGACACAATACACAACCCATTTTACGTACATAAACTAAGGTATTGCTGTGTCACATAGCATAGGGTTGGATCTAAGACATCAGTGAAAGAGGAAAGTAGTTTTGATTAAAATTTGAAAAATTCTGTCATAATTTACTCACCCTTGAGTTTTTCCAAACCCGTAAGACTTCAGAACACAAATTAAGATTTTGACATGTTGGAGACATGTTCGCTTCATATGCTGATCAGATTTAATTTGGGCTTTTATTTACATTTAAACATTGATCAGTGAACATAAACTGAAGCTCAACCATACCTGCTTGACACGTGAGAATAAACCTCTTGTTGCAACAATGTCTCATCCCAAGACGTCATATAACTGACGCCTTTGGCCATACGTCAACATCCGCCGTTTTAGGGTTACCTTAAACGTCGGTTAGATGACGATCCTGGGGCGTCATCCAACTGACGCGTTACCTTTAACGTCAGTTAGGTGACGGGTAGGTTTAGGTCTAAGGTTAGGATTAGATAACGTCATCTAACTGACGTTTAAGGGTACCCTAAAACGGCGGATGTTGACGTATGGTCAAAAGCGTCAGTTGTATGACGTCTTGGGATGAGACTGCGCTGCTTGTTGAAGCTCAACCAAGTTGCATAACACAAGAATGAACCTGGTTCTCAAACGTCAAGCTAACATGCTTGAGCTTTCGTTTATCATAACTGATGTGTGAATTGATGAATGTTGATACCATGGTCTGGGTGAATACTCGATTCTGATTGGCTGTAGGGTGTCAATTAAAAAGTGATAGAGGATACCTTGTAAAAACGTTCTGGTGAAACTGATTGTTAAACGTTCAAAATGAATCAATAAATGCGCTGGCTACATCAGTTGTGAGTAACCATAGCAACAGGCAATCAAAGTATCCGTTTACAATTTATTGTATCAAAACAAACATCTAGTTAACCGTTATATGATGCCTACCTGCGTGTTTTAATTATAGATTAAAAAAACTAAAGTGTTACTCCCATGGCTAGACAAGCCTAACTTACATACGTTAAATACGTTAACTTTCTGGCTCGTAAGTTAGCTAAACTGAAGGGTTCTACGAGCTGAGCGGACTACAAATATCTCCGGTTGCTGAATAAACCATCAGGCGTAACCAGGGAGACCAAGTTTTTGTTTGTAGAAACTTTAGATTGCAATTATAAAACTAATTAAAATATAAATGAATGTTTAAAAAATGTGTTATTTGGCAAGTGACCATTTAAGCGTTTTAATGTCCTTCCAGATGTACATCGTCTAGGTATTGATGGACTTCGGCGGAGGCAACGGTCCTAATTAAAAAGAGTTTTTCGGTGAACTAACCCTTTAAGGAAACACAGCAAGGATTGTGCATTACATTAACTAAGAAAGCCAAAAAAGTCAGCTCTGATTTTATGTTGCCTTTAAAGTACATCATTTATTGAATTAGTTTTGATTAATAACTTGAAAAAGAGACACAGCTACAGTAGTAGATAATTACACTAATGAGGATTGCAATTAGATCAGGTTCTCTTCTTTACCATGGAAGGGTTATTATCCGAATAAACAAGCCTTGGATTTTCCTCATTAAAAATGCATTGCAAATGAGTCATTGTCTAGGATTTATCTCACACTCTGTTAATAGTATCAGTTAGCCTATACTGTTTGAACAATGTCTTGATTTTCAAAGTAAGTGAGTGGAAATTTACTCTGCTTTTTTTCCAAAGGTATTCCTTTCCCCATTATCGTCGCATGGGCCATTGGCAAGCTGTACTATGACAATGAAAAGTGAGTTTGCTGATGCTTTCTTTCAGTTCCTTACTTTTTTATCTCTGTATAATATCTGCATTTTACTCCATACACACAAACTCCCTCACCTCATTTACAATAAAAGCAATGAAAGGTTAGATTACCCCAATTATCTCCATCATCTACCCTCGTCTTGCTCATTAAACAATCGATTCATGATAAAACCAGAGAGGCTTTCTGTAAGTGATGCTAATTATTGCCTGCTACTCACGAAATTGATGAGTGACATTGATGTAAACATCCCAGAGTTCAATAGTTGTCAAGACATGATGTATACAGTTAAAAGATCTTCTAAATAAAAAGACTCTTTATAAAAAAATAATAATAATAACAAATGACTAACAAATTAAACTAAAGCCAACATTACCTTCTTTAGTCCCAAGATGGGACACTACAAAGAAAAAATTTTTTATTTTTATTTATTCATATTAAATAGGGGTAGAGGAGCATACCCATTGTCCAGGTTTTATATAATGCTTGAAATATGGGATTATTGTAATATATGAAAATATGTTCACCGTTTTTGCAGATTTATTGTCCTCTGTATGTGAAATACTACTAGTTTTACCGTGTATAATATGAATTAAATAACAGTTACATTAATTAGATTTATTGTGTCAGTATGTCACAAGTAAGTAGGGAGTGTGTAATAATTTGTGGGTGGGTAGATTCGTGAATAGTTTGGATGGTTGGTTGGTTGGTTGGTTGGATGGATGGATGGATGGATGGATGGATGGATGGGTATGTGTGGATGGGATGGAAGGATGGGTAGATGGATAGATGGATGGGTACACTCTAAAAAAATGCTGGGTTGTTTTAACCCAATTTTGGGTAAAATATGGACAAACCCAATTGTTGGATTAAAAATGCAATTCATAAATTCATCCCAAGTGCTGGGAATCTGGGATTGTCAATATTTGACCCAAAATTGGGTTAAAACAACCCAAATGCTTTAGGGTGTAGATGTGTGAATGGATGGATGGATGGATGGATGGATGCGTGGATGGTATGGATGGATGTATGCTTTGGATGGATTATTGGATGGAATGATGGGTGGATGCATGGATGGATGTTTTGGATGGATTATTGGATGGAATGATGGATGGATGGTTAAAAAGGGACTTTTTATTTCCTTTAGACTATGTATAGACAAGTACAGGGGTTGGACAATGAAACTGAAACACTGGCCAATGTTGGAGGTTTCACATCTATATGCATGGCGGCCAATCTTAATAATAATAATAATAATAATAAATTTTATTTGTAATGCACCTTACATTTAGAGAAAATCTCAAAGTGCTACAGTTTAAGATCATAAAAGCCAAAAGTTAAAAGTCAAAAGTTCTGCTAAAAAGAAAAGTTTTTAGTCCTTTTTTAAAAGTCTCAATAGTTTGAGGTGCCCTCAGATGGTCAGGGAGGGCATTCCAGATCCGAGGAGCGGCAGAGCAGAAAGCCCGATCACCCATGGTGCTGAGCTTAGTCTTGGGGAGGAGTAGACGGTTTGTCGTTGATGAACGGAGGGATCGTGTTGTTGTTAGAGGTGTGAGTAGTTCTTTCAGATATGGGGGGGGCGTTTCCATAGATGCACTGGTGGGTAAGAAGGGAGACTTTATATTCAATCCTAGCGGAGACAGGAAGCCAGTGAAGTGAATGGAGGATGGGTGTGATGTGGTCGTATTTTCGCACTCTCAGCAGGATCCTTGCAGCACTATTTTGAACATACTGTAGTCTCTGCAGGCTTTTGTTTGGGATCCCGATGAAAAGTGCATTACAATAGTCCAATCTTCAGAGTGAAGCACGGGTGGATCAGTGATGGTTTGAGCTCCAATATCATGACAATCCTGATTGTATTTGATGGACACGACACTGCCGAGGACTACCAAACCCTTGGAGGATCATGAGCACCCGATGCTCAAACCGTGTATCAGCATGATCATGCACCAACACACACAGCAAGACTTGTGACAGAAGGGTTTGATGAAGATGAAAGTGACGTTGAACATCTCCCATGGTCTGACAGTCACCAGATCTGAATATTATTGAGGTGTTTTGGAGGAGCGAGTCCACCAGCATCATATAGTGACCTGGACACTGTTCTGGAAGAGGAACGGCTCATAATCCCTCTGGTGACTGTGAAGGACTTCTATCTGTCAATTGGTGCTGTATTTGGATGCAAAATGAGGCCCTCACCATTCTAACAAATTATTGTGTAGTAAAACCAGGTGTTTCAGTTTTTTTGTCCAACCCCTGTATATGCCAAATGTAAACATAATGTGTGAGCCTCTGGAGTGCTACCAAACTAAACAAACTAATTTTCGCATAATTATAAAGTCTCTAACTAAATCTTAAAAAGAAATAAAGAAATAAATAAAGAAATAAATCTTTAACACCTCTTTAATTTACCTTCTCACTGCTAAACACTGTGGGAGCAGCGCTTCTCCACTGGTGCATTGAGTATGGCCAAAAATGGGTCACAGCTCTGCACAGAAAGGGAAAAAAGAATGCTAAATGCTAATTATAAAATGCAGCTAACCATACAAGTGTACACAGATTATGTTATTAATATCAATGTCTGTATATATATATATATATCGGGTGTTCACTTTTGAAAATGTTTTCATCCCTTGGTAGAGGCTTGTCGGATTAACCTAGCGCGTCACAAACTGTATGTAGATGACCCCAGAAAGATATTTTTTAAACATGTGCATTTAAAAAAAAATAAACTGAGGCTTATTTTACCTAGATGAATGTGTGCATATTTTTGGTTGAGCTCCACAACCAAAAATGACAGTATTTTGCTATTGACTGTATCCCCAAAAGCCAGATGTTTCTCCCTTCCTGTAAAACTGACACACTCAGCCGAGACAGCCTGATTATGCCGTGTACCCAACTGAAACTGTAAGATTAACAAATCTGGTGCATATCTGCCCTAAGGACACACTTTCCTTCTATTCCTTGCTTTGTTTCTTTCTTTTCTTTTTATGGAAAAGCTTCTTTTTAGATATTTTCCAGTGGATGGTCTTTAATCACTTTACTGAACTTGTTTTACTAGGCTTGTTTAATCATTGCACCATAATTATAAACATTTATCTCCAAATCCATTTTTATTATTACACGGATAAACCAACACATTCTCACCCCAAGGCGTCACCTTTGACCATGCGTCAATATTTGACGTTTTAGGCGCCCTTTAGCGTCACACATGACGCGATCCTACGGCGTCATCTAACTGACGCTAAAGGAAAGCGTCAGTTAGAGGACGCGGTTAGGTTTAGGTATGGGGTGGGGGTAGGGTACACGCGATCCTAGGGCGTCATCTAACTGACGCTAAAGGGCGCCTAAAGCGTCAGATATTGAAGCATGGTCAAATGGTCAGTTAGGTGACGCCTTGGGGGTGAGAATGGGCTAGATAAACGGTTAAGCTGTCTGAAGAAATGGGATCAAAACATTTTATATACTTTATAATAATTGTAGGTGCTTCATCATTAATTAAGGTACTGTGTCTTACTCTTTCTGTGCAGGTGCTGGTTTGGGAAGCGGGCCGGCATTTACACTGATTATATTTACCAGGGTCCCATGATCCTTGTCCTACTGGTGAGTCAGCACAGTCATGATTCATGTCCACTTACACAAGTAATTTAGCATTTTTTATTTGTTTGGTGCCTTCCTCTTTCACATGAGTCGTATTATGTCTTCTATGATTTATTTGTGTAATTTCATATTGATGATAATTCATATTTGCCATTATAGTGTGTAAAATCGAGTGCTTTTTCTCTCTTTCCCTCTCTAGATTAATTTCATTTTTCTCTTCAACATTGTGAGGATCCTAATGACTAAACTGAGGGCCTCCACTACCTCAGAGACCATTCAGTACAGGTGAGATAGATTATTCAGCACAGACAGATCCCAAAAGAAAGGTTTTGCACAGAGGTTGCCGATAGAAGACTTCATGCAGAAACATAAAATGCCCCTGCCACGTAGGGTTTAATTTATTAAACATTTTGGCTAATTAAAATAGGCTGTTACCTACCAAATGAGTTAAGTAGTAATCTTAGCAATATACACTTCCCAAAGTTTGAGGTCGTTTGTTTTTTTGTTAAAGTCGGCGTGAAAAGGAAGTTGAGATTGTAATTTATTTTTTCTAGTCTTGACGTATATCCGAGTGAAACGGCTTCTGAAATTAGAAAAAATATGTAGGGCAGGGCTTGATTTCGTCCTTTGGGAATTAATTGGATTGTTGGAGGTTGGCCGTTGCAAACAAAATGGAGGCAGATTTGAATGCGATTCTCTGAGAGGCGGCGCACCGATAGCCGCACCCTCATCGGCTCTGGCCGCAGCCTTTCGCCATTGCACCGTGACCAAAATAGAAGAGAGGTCGTTTCGAAGGGGGAGGGAAGGGTGATGTATTTGATTAAAGATTATAAGAGTACATGAATTAAGTACATGAAGTGCACAGATAAACCATTTTTAATAAACACTACAGCATTACATAAAAGAAGATTTGTCACATTTGATTTCATGCCGACTTTAAAGTTTTGTCTCTTATGCTCACCAAAGCAGCACTTAGCATTTATTTGATATAAAAAAAGTGAAACAGTAAAACTTTTTTGAGTAAAACTGGAATATTGTGAATTATTATTATGATTTAAAAGCTGTTTTCTTTTGGAATATATTTAAATATGTAATTTATTCCTGTGATGGCAAAGCTGAATATTCAGCAACATTACTCCAGTCACATGATCCTTCAGAAATCATTCTAATAAGCTGCTCAGGAAAAATGTCTTATTGTCATCAATGTTGAAATAGGTTGTGCTGCTTAATTTTTTTTTTTTTTTTTTGTGGAAAGCATTATAATTGATTTCAGGATCCTTTGATGAATAGAAAGTTCAAAAGAACAGAATTACTAAAGATGGTTTTTGATCAATTTATCACGTCCTTGATAAGTAAAAGATGACACCAAGCTTCTGGATAATTTCCCTCAAAATGAGTGTAGAAAATGTTGTTACCTCAGACACATATCCTAAACTCCTTATGTGAAATAATAATGAATACAAAAGGATAGAATAGTAGACAACTGATGACATACAGTAAGAATTTAGAGCTAGTATGAATCTGGAAAGCATAACTCTGTTGTGAAAGCAAATGTTGCAGTGTTGGGCTGCTCGGAGGCTCAGACTAACAGAGCAGTTTTAATAGGTACACAGTGTTTACACTAAATCATATAAATGGCTTACATCTAATTGCCTCTGCTCTGCATATTAAAAATTTATATTTTTACATTAAAAAAATCTTTCACACTGTAATATGGCTTTCGTTTTGGGTAGATGGAGGAGGATGAGCAGACTGAGGTACTGAATTTAGTCATGTTTTGTGTCTGTTCTGAGTTCTGGAACTTTTTAATAAGCTGTGTTAGTTGCTGTGCCAAACTGTTGTGTGAAAAAGAGAGGATGGGGTTGATGTGCTGAGGATCTCTCTCTCTCTCTCTCTCTCTCTCTCTCTCTCTCTCTCTCTCTCTCTCTCTCTCTCTCTCTCTCTCTCTCTCTCTCTCTCTCTCTCTCTCTCTCTCTCTCTCTCTGTGTGTGTGTGTGTGATTCTCATATTCCCTTCAACTATGACTAATGTCCTTTTCAGTCACAGTCAGTCGACAGTCGCCCATAGCAAATACAATACATACTGATTAAACCAAATTCATCTCAATGTCGTAGCATTCATCTCTTTGTATAAGCAACTGTGACGTTACTCTGTGTATCATTATTCAGACACCACCTGGCTAAAAATATTATTTTAATAAAATTGTATGTAGAATACTGTATATTGCTAAATGTGTGATGTGCGATTTGTCAATCAAATGGAAATCAAGGGCTGGTTGCATAAACTTAGCCTCTAACAAGTTTTACCAACTGTAGTAGGAGTTAGACAAGAGTTAATCTGTCTTTCTTACAAATTAGACCAATCCTTTTCTTTTTTTCTTTTTTTCAATTATTTTATGTAACTGACATCTGTAAAAATAACAGCTGTAAAAATAAAACTCTCCATACCTTTTCAGTGCTATTTTTTTTTATAAATCAGAATAGTGAAGTTAGGCACTCTGGAAAGGGTTAACTGGTCTAAACTGTACTGTGGATGCTGAGAAATAGAAATTAGCATGTAGTTATAATGTATCATGTAGTTTCAGTAATGAAGCGTTGACAAGGTTTCTCTACTCTTAAATGTTTCTGTGTGTGTGTGTGTGTGTGCTGCACAATCTTTGTGAAAGCGAATGACGTAAAAGCTTTATGGATGCACCAATGCACCCATATCCATATGCACATGCATACCCTTTGTACCCAGATGCTAATCCACTGTGACCGACATTGCAACAATACAAAGCAAGTTGAAAATCTGAGAAGTTGTTCCTGTATGACTTTCGTTTATCTTCGGAACATAAATTAAGATATTTTTGATTGAATCTGAAAACTCTCTCAATCCTCCATAAGTGATCAAAACTTGCCGGCCCAGAAAAGTTATTAAAGACATCGTTAAAATAGTGCAAGTGACGGCAATGGCTCAACCTTAAGTTTATCAAGCGCCGAGAATACTTTTTGTGCGCAAAAAAAAAAAAAAACGACTTTATTCAACTATTCATTTCCTTCTCTGTTGGCCTCGAGTTAGTTCACGTAGCAAAAATTTGCAGCACTTCCGGTATATTTCCAACCAATAATGAACCTGACCTTTGTGTGATGTACAACACAGAAGTGCTGCACAGTTACACTATGTGTACTAACTCGAGGCCAACAGAGAAGGAAATGAATAGTTGAATAAAGTCGATATATTTTTGTTTGTTTTTTGTTTTTTGATTATATTACACCAGACTCATTTCCTCTAAAGCTTGTCTAAACATATCTTTAAAACATTTGTGTGTCTATTTTTAAGCACAATGTTCTGGAAACCTGTTTGAAATGGTTATTTTGTTTTATTATTTTCTTAAAACTAGTAGGGCAGAAATTACTGCATATTGCAATATCTGAAGACATGACTTTTTATTTATACAAGTCTGGTTTCATATCCTCTTCTCTTCTTCTCTAAATCTCACAGGAAAGCAGTAAAAGCCACACTGGTTCTTCTGCCCTTGCTGGGTATCACATACATGCTGTTTTTCGTCAACCCTGGCGAGGATGAGATCTCACAGATTGTCTTCATATACTTCAACTCTTTCCTTGAGTCCTTTCAGGTAAATAAGTGTGATTGTGACATATTAATTGTGACAAAACAGATCTGAATCTGATCTTTACAACTTAGAGGTGAAAATTCTGAGAATGAATTATGTTGTCCCTCCAAGTGAACATGCTTAAATGTAAAGGGATTGGATCCGTCTGGGCTGTTTTGTTTGTCATTTTAAGTTCAAGAAAAGTGTGGGGCTTGATCTGAGGTCACCCTGAATCACAGATAGATATCAGAATACACAAGCAAAGCAGAGCGTACAGTGTTGCTTAAAGTCAAAGTGATAACATTGATCTGTTATACCTAATAAGAGTTATTTATTTGCACATGCTGTCTTTTACAAAAAAAACAGTTCTGAGTTAATGAATAAGTCTGAATAACTCACTAATAAGCCTAATTTGCATTGAATATAATGACAATAACAAAATCTAAATATACGGCTCAGTGCTATTTAAGTGCATTTAGCTCTTGGTTAAACTGGATTCCAGGTGCTTAATGAATAAGATGCAAGTTTTGTGCTGAAACATCACATGCTGAAGTGGTGCAGCTCTTGCTACTAAGCACTAAATGCATTTGTTTTTGCAAAAAACAATCTGGTCAAACCAGTTGCACAGCTAAACGTTTTATAATGTTTCGTTTTTTTATGAAGTCTCGCCCACGTTTTCGGAAATCGTCATTCCATTTCCTTGTGGTGCATTTCTCACATCAATCCACAGTTGTTCATGTCACCCGAAGCACGCAAGGTCAACTCTATCCCCTGTTTTGCACACATTTGCTTCCTGGTGTGACCCCGGGGTCTCTCATGCATGTTGAAGCCATGTTTTCCACAGATTCATCTGGCCCCACATCTGTCCAACTCCTCATGGGAATGATAATTCATCTGTGCAGAAAATTGAATGTTAGGGCACTCTTGTTAGACAAACATGCTGAAATGGATCTTATGCTGAAAAGTATCTTATTAATAAAATAACTATTTTAAAAAAATTAATATTTGATGAGGTTCTTTTTAGGTATTTGCCTGAAGGCAACACTTTGACAATGGAAATAAATTCATCAAAAACAGATTTTATATTATTAAATTTAATAAAGACTAAAAGTGATTCAAAGCTTACTTAATGTTAAAAACAGCAAATGTTGTTGTACAGTAAGAATAGCATTTGTTAACACACTGAGTAACTATTTGTATGTCTGTCTAAATAAGAAGATGTTAACTATTTTTAACTGAGACTGTAAATCTCCTTTGTATACGAGGCATAAATAATCCTCACATTTAATGACCTTTCAAAATTGTTAACATCTTATTATTTCATAATATCTTATTATTTACACTTTCTAAAAGATATTATGAACTACTGACAACTCCTAAATAACTCGTTTGTTAATAATGTAATCATTTAGAAATGATAAATTGTTTATTAATAAAGAATGAAAATACAATTATTAAACAAATTATGGATACGCTTATAAATCAAGAATAACTGTATTTATAAACTGCTTACTAATGACAATGCTTTATAAATGATTAATTAAAGTTTTACTAATGCTTAAATAATGATTCATAGCATGCTGTTATTAAAATGTTACCCATAAGATAACAAATGCAATATTGTCCAGTGTCTCTATCCATCCACTGTCACACAATATTAGGCAACGGACAAATTTAACAGTTCCTTTATAACATGCAAATTATTCATTTAACTTTTTTTAATGGGTAGAAAAATGTATATGGGGGAATTATTGTCAAACAATTTCCATTGTCCTCCACAACGAGTTTAAAATAACCACCAGGATATAATGTGACCATATACTGACAATAAAACTCTTTATTGTTTCATTCAAAGACTTTTACTGAATTTTTAACCCCATTGTAACCCCATTAGGGTTAAGATTATCCATCTCAGATAAGTCTATGCATCATTTGATGAATAAGATTTAGAAGGGAGATGTTGACAATACTGGTTCTCTTTTTATGCAGAATCATATGCATATGAAGTTTTGGCTTTTTGATGAGCTGTGTCGTACACAAGTGTTTTGGAGTGTTTATTTTATGATTATGTATAATTTTCACATATTTTCATTTTCCCTCTTGAAGTTTATGTTGAAAGGATTTTTTTTGTTGTTGTTGTTTTTTTGTTTGTTTTCATCATTATATTTTACAAACTCATGTTTTGTTAATGTAACCCAGTCACCAGCAGCATTAAAATGATTTTAGAATTAATTAACTTAGGATTGACAGCTAATAATTTAGGCAAGGTTGAAATGAATAAATTGAATAAATTATTCTTATTTGTTCCATTTCACATTGGATATCCTAACTTGTGACAATGTGTGAAATAAAATAGGTTGTGGATGGTGAAATTTGAAATGTTAATAAAGTGTAAATGTCTCTCGTTCTCTTTACAGGGCTTCTTTGTGTCCGTGTTCTACTGCTTTTTGAACAGTGAGGTAAGAAAGCCCTTTTCCCGATCTTCTGTTTACAGGCTTTTTTTTTTTTTTTTTATGAATGTGCCCTCTGCTTTTGACTCGCAGCAGTGGGTCTCTTTGAAGTGCAACACAGTCAATGCAATTCGGGTAATTCAGATTTCCTCAAACATGGCAGCCCGATGAGACCTGGCCAAAAAAAGAATCACATCGAGACCCTCTCCATTTACCCAAAGCCACCCTTTTGGCAGGCAGTAACTATAAAAACCTACTTCACTCATAAAATATTCATTCCTGTGACGTCTGAATTTGGCTTGTATTACATGCCCTTTGAAATAAACTGTAAACCTTTGAGAATTTCCCGCAAAATATTACTCTCTAGCGTTGTGCCCAAATTTCAAACGTAAGCACATCTTACGCATCATGTTGTCCCTCCAAGTGAACATGCTTAAATGTAAAGGGATCGGATCCGTCTGGGCTGTTTTGTTTGTCATTTTAAGTTCAAGAGAAGCAGAAAAGTGTGGGGCTTGATCTGAGGTCACCCTGAATCACAGATAGATATCAGAATACACAAGCAAAGCAGAGTGTACAGTGTTGCTTAAAGTCAAAGTGATAACATTGATCTGTTCCCGGGACAGCGCAATGTCAGATGTATGACGTTATGAACTTGAGAAGGTGCCTTTGGCTCCAATGTGTCTACGCAAACATGATCAGAACTAAAAGGCCTGTGGTACTGAATTACAGCTACAATAATAAACACTTGCCTCAAGTTTTTTGAAAGTCAAAATGATCTGGCTTGGAACTGCAATAAAGCGCTTTCTTTCGTTTGTTCACTTTCTCTCAACGTGTTGCATTGCAGTTTATTAAGATTAAAACTATTAAAAAGGATAGTTTATTGTCGTTTACTATAGTTGCAGATTTTTCTTACAAATTGTACACTTTTTTTCATAGAATAAAAATGGATGTTAAGACTCTAGTATCAGAATGTAAGGTATATAAATATACAAATAATATACAAATACAATCAAGTTGGGAATGCATTGACGTCACTTTCCCGCCAGAATAGCCCCCCTCAGTCTGACTGAGTGGCAAAAGATCTGCTGCGTGACTGGATTTAATAGGGGAAACTGCAAAAATGCGACTAAAGCAAAAAAAATTATCAATTTAAACTAAATGTTGGACTCAATATAGTGTTCCTTACAACTTACTAAAGATCCAGTGATCCATGGATATTGAAATGCAGCCAGGAATCGTGTTGCCTGACATTTATGTTTGCCTGATTTCAACACATTGGGGAAATAAAAGCAATATAGACCTAAACATAAAGCAAATTTGCCTGTGAATGCTTTATATAAATACAATATAGGTAGGTCTAAATCTGGGTGATCACTTTTGTTATATATAGCCTATATATTTCATCATATCATCCAGCCCTAAAACTTTATTGTTTTTTTTTTTTTTTTGTGTTGTTTTTCAGTGTTTATTAAAAAAACATCCAATAATACAGAATATGCAATGATAAATATTTAATTGATGAGTTGTTAATATATATAACAATACAAAATATAAATTCAGCATATTGACACAAAATGATGAATTTTGTCAAATCTAGTTGTACAGTCAATCGCAAAGCTCTCTCCCACTTTATATGTGTTGTGTTTGTTTTTCGCAGCATTCACGCTAAAAACAAATACAGCCGCTCAGTCTTTTTGCCACTGACTGTGAGTAACTGCAGGCACTCCGGCCTACGGTGACGTCACGCGCATACCCTCTATAGCTTTAATAGCTGGGGTTTGACCGGTTCGGTAACACTAACTACACAGGGGCGAATGAGTATTGCATTATTAACACTCTAATAACTACTATTAACTAACAAAAACTGATTAACGAATTAGTAAGTAATAGTGCTTAGTCGAATGTGGTTTTTTCATAGCTCATAGAAAACTACTAAGAACTATTCATAATGAATGTGAATAATTCAGAATGGTTAATTAATTCTGAAGTGAAGATCATGAATGAAAATCATAATAACTCAAGTAATGACTGAAATTGTTTTGACTCATGACTCATTGTTTTCAAGGAAGGCAAGGTTTTGGATATTAATGGCCCATGTTACTACATCCTTCTTGTACATCTACTTGGGAAAGCAGAGTTTTATTTATGAAACTCTGAAGAAAAAAAAATGTCACGGATTATTTTCAGCAACCACTCTGAAAGCTGTATTTGAAAGCTAGCTTTAAGTGTCAGCAGTCACTGACCCATGGGGTTTAAGTTTACAGAAAAACCTTAAAAGAGAGAGTCAAGCTCTTAGAGCAAAGTAAGAAGTTTCTTTTCAGATGATTTGAACGCGATTGAGTTTGATCTTCTGAACCCCCTACTTGACACCCACCACAGAAGTTAATTACATACAACGCCAGAGCTTTACTGTTCACTTCTGATCAACTGTGCTGGCCTTTGAGCCTCACAGGCATGGGCAACTGTTCATGCTGTGCCATGGGCTGCCAGCAACTATTTCATGCCCATTCGAACCGTGGCCCCTCAGATTGAGCTAAGTATGTACCTTGAATGCAGAATAAATATTTTATCTTTGATAATTCAGTTCACTAGTGATCTCAGGCTTTGACTGTTATATATACAGTATACTGTATATATATATACAGTATATATACTGCACATACAGTACACACACATGCACACACAAACACACACAAGTCTACTCAATATAAAATCTTTCTGCTCCTGAGCATTAATAACTGTGACTTGAATTCTAAACATGTTTGGAAGTTATCCATATTTCTTCTGCTTCAGCGGCTTGTGAAGTGTTTACTGGTATAAATTCCAGTGCAGGCAGCATTGTTGACACATGCTTTGGGGACTACGAATCAAAACCTCAATCTGGTGAGAGAGCAACCGGCGTGGAAGCTGAGCTCTATCCATAGCGCATCGGGGCACCAACAGATATTTGACCGTCGACCGTAAAGTATATTAAATGAGGTGAAGCCAGAGAGGAAGAGTAAATATTTACTGACATTTGTTTTTATTTATATATTTATTGACATCTCATTGATTTGTGGAGAGAGGGGCCTTTTAAAGTACTCAGACTCGTCTTTCTGAAAGCCACCGCATTGATTCAGTAAAAGGCACAACCCCCTACCTGGGGGTTAACTGATGGAACTGATGAGCAAGAGCAGCTAATACTGAGCATGCGTTTACTACCGAACATACAATCAGGTACAGTCACAGTAGCTTTGGCCTGGTGGTATTTATAGCATGGGGGCGGGATGCTTCAGATTCTAGAGAGCATTTGATTGGACAGAAGATGTGATGAGAAGCTAAAGTCCGTGGTGACGTCATAAAAATCCATGATCCATTTTTGGGGAAGTGAGAGACTTTAAGTTTTGAATGCTTATATCTCCTAAATGCAAATTTCTTCATTTTATTTTATTTTTTTTTGGAACACAACAGCTTAATTATTAAATTAAGACTAACATATTCATCCTAAGAGCTAAAAAAAAAAACTTACTTAGCTAAAAATTGCGATTTCAGGGGGCCTTTAAGGAAATGTCATAGGTTTGGTTGCTAGGGAGAGGGTTCCCTGTCGCTATGATACTACGCAGAGTATGCAATGCAAACGATGCAGGGTTTCATTACTAGCATATATAACACTTGTGTGCAGGTTGTGCGCAGGTAGGGCTCAATCTGTGCAGAGCACATGCCGTTTTTGCCGAAGTGTCCTTTTTTTTAGTGGACACTTTGGCAAGTGGACACTTTTTTTTTTCTTTTTTTTTTTTTGTGCTGTGTGCTGTGCAGCGACCGCACAGCACATTTTTGTTTTGTTTTTTCATTAACTCGTTTTGAACAAAGACAAAAGTAAAAAAAAAATACATTTTGTATTAGAAATTTGGATGAATTTATATTGAAATATAAGAACACTGATCTGTCTATTAAAAACACTGTCACTTCTCTCTCCTGTTATTTTAAAGCGCGGTAGGATATCTGACAAGGTTAATGTAATGCAAATACTAGCGCTGTTATGACGAGCAGTAGCATGAAAGGTGACTGGTTTGACAGAAAATACATGCTGCTCTTTGTTGCCATGTTTGACAAATGAATGACAGAACTGACATGGGTGACCATATAGAGCACACGACAATGGAGAATGCAAGGAAATAGTGTTTTAAATTCAATAATCCACAGGGTCGGCTACACAAAGACAAGACCTGACCAAGAACTGAATGAAATGGAGTACAAATGCACAGACTAAATTAGGTAATTAATAACGAATGACAGGTGAACGGAATGATTAATCAACACACTAGGAAACTGAGGCAAATTTAAGGGCACACAGGCAAACAGGAACAGTACTAAAACACAAATAAACTAAGCCAAAATAAAACATATATGTGACAACATTGGTGTATTTAATAAATGAGGATGAATAGCTTTACTTAATTGTTTTGTTTACATCACATATGCATAAATTGTCTGACCATTTTTTTGTAATTTTCATTTCTTGAATTGAATTATTTATTCTCTTGAGAGAGAGAGTGTGTGTGTGTGTGTGTGTGTGTGACAAGTCAATACTGCTCTTTTATGTGAATTAAATCATTGATAACTATGCAATTTAAATGTTATTCCCCTCATATATGGCGTTAGCTACATTTTGTTACTAACTTACAGTGAAACCTTTTTATCTATAATTGAACTATATTCAATTATTTTATTTTTTTTGTCCGCAGGTTCGCTCAGCAGTTCGTAAGCGGTGGCATCGCTGGCAGGATAAGCACTCCATTAGGGCGCGGGTAGCGCGGGCCATGTCTATTCCCACCTCTCCAACGCGGGTCAGTTTCCACAGCATCAAGCAGTCGTCGGCCGTCTGACCCTAACAGCGAAGCGAAGCGCCCATCCCCGTTTCTTCTGCTTCCGCTCTATTCATCCTCAACTAATCAACCATGTCCTCTGCAAAACCCAGGGATAACAGCTATGGGCCAAACAGGGTATGATCCTCAGCTGAAACATAGATGAAGGGTGGAAATATACACAAACAACTGCCGAAAACAGAGAAGATGAATCTGTTTCAGAAACAGATTGGAGCATCGGTGGTCTCAGACAATGATAGGAGACTGTGGAAGGCACACAAAAAGGTTGATAAAGACAGAAAGAGTGTACTCATTCAATAGCTAAAGTTATGTCACAACATCTCCTCCTGATCTGCTTACCTATCTTCTCTGATTGGAGACCTCAGTTTATTCTTGTTTCCAGAACTTTCACAGTAGGAATATATTAAATATACACTACATGGCCAAAAATAGTGTGACTGTGTTTGAATGGGAGTAAATCCCTTCATCTATATTCCAACATCTATTGGAAAATCTTACAGAAGACTGGAAGCTGTTAGGGGGATAAACTTTTTAATGGCAATTTTTTTTTTTTTTAATTAAGGCAAGCAAGCACATATCCACTCATATATAAAAAGGTGAAATGTGTTTATAAATAGATTAGATTAAATTAATATATTAAAGAAACCTTTATGACAAAATGACTCTATAAGGAGAAATGTCTTAAATGAGCTTTATGTCTTAAACGAGCTTTACAAACTGCTTAATTCATAACATTTTATTACATTGAAAACAAAATTAATTAAATCTCCATAAAATGATCCCATGATGTGAACCCTAAAATGTTCTATATCAAGCACCTGACAGAGTGTGAGTTTGGTTTTCAGTTGTCCACTATATGAAGTTTTGGTCAGATAGTGTATTAGTTTTAGGGTTTGGGAGTATTTTGGAATCGGAAAACAAACTGAATATATTTGACCGATCACAATGTGAACTTATTATTGTTATTGAATCTTTTGACTCGATACTTTAGAGATAAATGTAATGAGTTTCTCCGATTTGTTCAGTTTGTGACCCTCATGCTTTCACATTACTGCAGCTAGTAATAGTTTCCTCTGATTCTCATACATTTCTGTGAGCTAACTCATTCAACATGAATGCTTTTTGCTATGAAATTATGAGTACATCTATAGCTGCATACATCATGTCATACACATACGCAAGTGCGATACATTTTTTACAAAGACGAAAGGTACGTGCTAATGCTCTCTAAGCCAGTTTGCATCCTGGGACTCAAGGATATATCTAAACCCCTGAGAGAAAGAGGAAGGAAGCTCATAGGAAAGGGAACAACATAATGAAAGACTCTGATGCCTGCTAAAGTAGAAGACGACACTCTCCGATGCTAAGTATTTAACACAATCTTTTAAATAAGGGGTTTGTCTCAGAACAAAAAGGATTTTGATTTTATCCTGCATTTGGAGCTGCGGCCAAGCAAGCAATTGAATGTATTTCAATTAATCACTCCAGCTCTCATTTCCATGCACAGTTCCATATAAATTCCTACTTATCATGCAGGCTTACGAGACGATCATAATACTAAACACTTGGGAAATTGGATTCTGGAAACTGTTTCAAAAAAAGACTAATTGTAGTCTCACATGACTGGATGTTGTTATTGCACGAGGCTGAACATTTTACTCACCCTCATGTTGTTCCAAACATGTTTGACCTGTATGAAACAAAATGAGAAAGTATTTTTTTTTTAGTAAGAATGCATTTAATTGATCAGTAGTAATAGTAAAGGACAGACCAAAGGATCCTGATCTTTTTTAACACATCACACATAAACTGTTTTTAACATGGACAATAATAATAAAAAAGTTTCTTAAGCACCAAATCAGCATTTATGAAGGATCATGTGACACTGAACTGTTATGAACATCCAGTTTGGAGATCACATGAATAAATTACATTTTAAAATATATTTAAATAGAACACTCTCATTTTAATGTAATATTTTCCTCTCCAGTCACTTGAGAACTTCAACAAATTAATGTCACTGAGTTAAACTGAATCAGTTTGATCTGTGAATGAATCTTTCAGACTGGTTTTGCCTGATTCAAAAAGATTTGACTCAACAACAATCTAGAATTAAATTGAAGGTCGAATGGGTTCAAAACAACATGAGTGTGACTAAATCTGATGGCAGCTTTCATTTTTGGGTAAACTGTTCCTTTAAAGATGTCAGTGATTTATTTCAAACGAAGTGCATTTCAAAATTTACATTGCTATTGGTGGACCATATATTTTTTCCTAGCTTCTCTGGACAGTTTTTTTTGTGTGTGTGTGTGGAAGGAAATCTAAATTTAACAAATAGATAAGTAGAGTGCATTTGTGTTGATCTAGGACCAGCTTCTCCCAACAGTTTAAATCCCAACAGAATCACTCAAAAGAATCACCTCAGCAAAATCTGCTTCGTTATCATTAGAGAGTCAAGGGAGATCTGCGTGCCTTGCAGGGTCATTTAACGTTTACCCATGTGTTAAAACCCTCGCTAAGCTGAGCCGCCAATGACCGAGTCCTGTGACCGCTCACTGCTGACTCAGCACAGTGAAGCAGATTTAGCTTTTGTGCCACATACATCCAATCAATCACATCTGATAGGGAGAGCAAGGTTTTTTTTTAAAAAAAAAAAACTGACTCAGGACCTCCATCTATGCCTCTGTGCTTTTCTGACCTTCCTGAAGTACTTGTGCAAAGGCTTCAGCAGATTCCCCATTTGTTGTGTATGCATGTCCATGGGACATCTAGTTGTATGTAGGATTGTGGAGTTTGCTAATTACCATAGCAATGTGTACTCTTGACAAACCGAGGACCAAGCCCATTTCACTGCTAGAAAACATAAACACAAGGTTTGTTTTAGTGTTGATTCTATGTTAAGGCTTGTTCGGTTGTTAAATCTGTTTTTAGACTGTGCACACTTTTATTTTGCAGTGAAATCTGATCCGTTTGTTCTGACAATGTAGTAAATATCCGGATGCCAAGAGGCTCATGCAACATCTAAGAATTGTTGGCGTAAAGAGAGGATGGAAGGCTGGGCATTTTGCCTCTGCTTAAGGCGCATTAGAGAACATTAGTGATGGGTATTTTACCCATGGCCATTCATGCATATATACCGTGTCCAAAACCACTTATATGTTCACTATTCACCACCCAGTGAAGGCTTTCATAGTTCGCTATACTGTATGAGGAAAGAGTTACAGAACAAATTCAAAATAAATGCCTCTCTTTTAAACTTTATCAAAGAATTCTAAAAAAACAAATGTATCACAGTTTCCACAAAAATTGTGATAATTCAGCTTTGCCTTTAGAGGAATAAATTACGCTTTTTAAATATGTTTAAATATGTTATTTAAATTTTAATAATATTTCACAATATTAAATGTTTTTTACTGTATGTTTGATCAATTTATTTTAGCCTTGATGCGCATAAGAGACTTTTTTGAATGGCAAACCTTTGAATGGCAGTATGTGATGTACAGTAGCACCCCGAATCATAATTTATTATATATATATATATATATATATATATATATATATTCAGATCTGACCATTTAGACTGAAAGGCAGATTTAAAGGGGTCATATGATGGTTCTAAAAATAACATTATTTTGTGTGTTTGGTTTAATGTGATGTGTTTACATGGTTTTAGGTTAAAAAAGTCATTATTTTACACATACTGTAAATTATTTTTTCTCCTCTATGCCCCACCTAAAAATGCGCAACACACAGTCGAAAAATTTTAGTTGTATGAACAGTGTTGTAAATAAAGCTTAAGCACTGTTTTCTAATTGTATTCACTTTTTTGAAGGCCAAACAAAGTAGATTAGCTTTCGCAACGAAAAACATGGCGGCAACAAAACACAGCGAGAATAAATGCTAGTTCTTCTTTCTTCACGTGTTCAGAAACTTTGCCCCCACTTACTGACGTAGATTTATGGGGGAGTGTTTGAACGAAGCGTTTTAGGAAGGTGCCAAGCCTTAAATTTTGTAAAGAATATCTCTTTAGGTTTGACACTTTGACCTTTGTAACTCTGCAGATCTTATTCGCACAAACAGCTACATAACATATTAAGAAAAACAAGAAACCGCATCATACGCCCCCTTTCAAATGTTTTCAAACCACTTATGGATATTGTTGTTGTTTTTGTTTTTTTGTCTGTCGTTACATATTTTTTTTAAGCCTGCTGTACAATTGCCTTAGTGTAGGCTATTTAAAAAATAAGGCAGATCAAAATAATCAAAAACTAAGTGAATCATCCCATCCCATCCTCACAGTACATTATACAACAATATATCAGTATGCGCTGTCAGCCAGTCATTATGGGTTTATTTTGAGATTAATGACCATATAGATAATGGTCTAACATTATTAGATGTCTGCTTTTCCTTCTAAATACATAAATGGATATGAAATAATATTGATTTAAGTTGAAATTATTTGATTATGTTGGGAGGAAGAATTGGGAGTGCTATTGAACTAGAACACAAGAAATTACTTTTGATGGACAATTGTGAAGTAAAGTGGTCAAAATTATCTGACCGCAACTGACCAATTAGAATCAAGTATTCCACAAACCCATGTAATGAAAACAGAGAAATCAAGAAACCAACCTGGATGCTGAATAGCAAAACTCCACAGACAGGGATATGATGGGTACAAAAATGAGAGAAGCTTATAGGTTACTATTTATGTCAAACAGATCTGTTTGCTGGTGCATGTGAAATCCTGTCATTTGAGGGATCTGATTTAGCATCGTGGGAATGAAGACTTTCACAGCACTGCTCAGACGCACTCCGTCAGCCTTTGCCTCACTATTTATAGCCGTTTGACAGTAAACAGCTCATGTGTTCACTTAGTATACAGACTCAAGGGGGTACTAGTAGAAGGGCCCTCTAGAGTTGCATACAATCTACACAACATAGAATGATATTATAGTGTATTATCCTCCTAAAGAGTTAAATTAGTCATGTCTAGTGAATTAGGTGTTAGGCGTTAGGAGCCATATTCTTGTCTATTAGTGCTTGCAGTGTCTAACAGTACCTAAACCATCCATGTACCTCATAAGACATAATCCAGTGATGTATATTATTTATAAATTATCAATCAATCACCATGTTCTATTCACAGTCAGTGGCATTCGATGCGAATTGGTGGTTTCACTATGCTCTTTCTCAGAACATCAAGCTCTTCTTTAAAGGTGAAGTGTGTAAATGAGTGCCATTTTAATATGCAGACAATTAAATGTAAGCCATTTATAGTTGTGAAAGATGTGTAACTCGATGTGTTTGCTCGAGCGGATTTGATTCAGCCATTGAATTTCTGGTGATACTGCCTGGTGTGCTGTTAGTTTTCTAGATGAACAGATTCTTGATTTTCTCTTGGCAGGTGATAACACGAGTGAATAATCCCATAGACTGACATTTACTGAGCCATATCTCTTTCGGCTTTGGCCTAGCAACCACCCGGAGCTTAATTTGTTCGGAATACTTTAGCAAGCGCTAGAGGCACATAAATGATACACTTCAGCTTTAAACCATAAAAAAAAAATACAAAAGAATTGGAATTTGGTTTTGTGACGTGTGTACCACCTGTTCAGGACTCACTCTATTTCCCTCTTTCCTTTTGGCTTTTGTTGGTAAGTCAGACAAAAGTCACCATTCCAAAGCAAACCACCATTCTCCACAGCCTCGAACATGCGATATTCCAAAGGCACACACGGTGTGCTCCTCCAACGTGCCTCAAAAAAGGCCTAAAACACAAATCTCTCCGTAAGACTTGTCATTTCATCTCTGCATAACTCAAATACCTTCTAATGCTCAAAGATTAAAATGTTCAGACTCACCATTCTTGGTAAGGTCAGTGTCTGTATCAGATTTGTTGGCCGCCATCCTCCAGCTGGAATAGTATTATCAGTATTAGTTCAGTCATTTCTATTAGTGCTGTCGTTTCTGTGTTGGTGAGCTTGATTTTCCATATCTGAGAGAAGCAACACTGGTGGACTGTGTTCTTTTGTTTCTTCTATTCACAAAAAAAATGGGTTTCTTCATCACTATTTTTGTCTCGTTTTCCAGTAAAGATTTGATACATTTGAATACATTTAAAGCATACATTAAAACGTATGATTGTGTAAAACTTTAAGCATAAATGTAATAAGATTTGCCTAGGTTTATTCTTATAATTTAAAAGAACGATTTGTCTTGTTCACTGGAAAACAACACAAAAATAATTACAATTATATTTTTGCTATAAGTTTATTTTTCCTTTTTTAGAGGTTGTGAAGAAGTTCTTCCAAAGTTGTGAAATGTACAGCTGTGTAGCTGTATTTGTGACAAAGATGTCAATATGTAATTTTTTTTTTTTCCGGGTATTTTATGTTGTGTTTAGTCGCTGATGTGAAAGTGTACAAAGAAAAAAAAATATTTATTTATACATTTATGGCACAGAAGAAAAAAAAAATCTATATATTTATCTCACTATTTATATAGGTCAGAAAACACAAGCCTATGTGACTCATATCAATATACTGTATGCATAGCATTATTAATGTCCAGAATGTGTGAAGACAATGTAATCTTGTATGTCTTGCTTTTTGTGACTCTGTGAGACAATCTTTGCCATCATTTCTGTCATTTCCTCCAGTGCTTCAAGAACATTCTATTTATTACTTTAGATATTTCGTTCCTCTTTGTTTTATGACTGATTTCATGTTTGACAGAACTGTACAGAAATTTATATTAAATCAACTACACAAAGATTAAAGTCATATGTTGAAGGCATATAGTACTGTGCTGATCAAGATGTGCATTAAATTGTTTTTCTTTTCTAAAATCCTTTTCTTTTGTGGTGTTTTACGTCCACAGGTTCGATATTAAAAGTTCAAGGCATGAATCATGCTGTGCATACGTCACTTCAGAGATATCGAGTTCGTTGAAATGATATGTTGTTTCCCTTTAATTACATCATGTTTTTTTTGTAATTCTACAGAAATGCTTGGAAGCCTACTTTAGGTTAACATGACATATGAGCTATCTGTATTCAACGGCGGATATATTTTCTTCAGGATATGCTCTAAAGCTCTGAAATAACATGTAATCTTAGCCAGAACAATGTGAGAGGGAGAAAGTTGATCTGTCTCAGTCTGAGAAGAAAAAAAACGTGTTCTCGCATTTCATTGAAAAAAGCTATTTTTATCTGGTTCATTTGGCTTGAAAAGCTCAAAATAGCATTTCTTTAAAATTGTGGGTTTCCTGCTCAAGTTACCTTGTTGTTTCTCATTACAGTGATAAGCATTTGAATACCTTGACACCCCTTTCAGATTTGTCTCGTAGTCTTTCACCTTCAGCTTCTTTAATGCTTTTGCAATGACGTATAGTATGACCGTGTTCATTGCAGTGAAATCAATTGATTGATATATGTGTGTGTTTTCTGTGTATTTTTTCTTAGAGCAAAAAAATATTGTTGGTTTAACCTAAAAAAATGAAGTAACCTGGTTGCCTTCAAAATTTAAGTTCATTAAAATGGAAAAATTGAGTTAATTATGATCAAAAACTCAAAATATTATGTTATCTGAACTACTTAAATCATTTAAGTTGATTTGACAAAAGAAAAAAATGTTG